TTCTTGAACTCCCTTCTCCTTGCTCTTAAGGGCCTCTCGGTCATTCCACATGCGGTGGCTCGGCTGAGTAGTTGCACCACCTCCATGAAGGAGCGTGTCTCCTTTCCTGCAGCTATATGCACTCTAAGTGCATCATAGCCCGAGTGGAGCGAAGCAAGAAAGATATGCCCCGCCATCTCATCCTCCAATGAGATTCCGAGAAGCTGCATGTGTTTGAAGAGCCTAGTCATTCCAAGCACATGAGGTCGGAGGGGCATGCCGGGTCTCAATTTGGCATTGTAGACCTTGGTCCAAAGCCGACGCCTTTCCTTAGCAAGACATCCCACATTTGGTGGCTTTATCCTCATGTTTGAGAGTGACCTAGTCAAGTCAAACACGAGTCCATCAAAGTTGCCTTTGTCACTCTTGGTGACTCTTACATTGACAACGTCCTCAAGTGCTTTGAGGAACATGTCCGGAAGGTAGGAGGAAAGGGTTTCCTTCCAATCTTTCGGGATGGAATTTGCCATAAGTCGTGAGACCCTTTTGCAATTGGAAGACCATTCTTCATGAGCCTCACCAGTCATGATCCCTTTGGCAAAGAAGCTTAGAATGGGAGTGTCAAGAGTATACTCCAAGGAACAATTCCGGAGAGTTCTCCTGAGTTCCTCCTCCCATTCCTTGAAGTTGACCAAGTTCAAAGAAAAGGCCAACTTTTCTGGGAGTTCCGGGCACACATGGTTGTTGTTTGAGTTACTTGCAGACATTGTTCTAAAATTGAAAGAATTTGAAATGAAAAACCATTCATAAATCAATAAGTTGAAATTTAAAAAGCGTTCATGCATAGTTTCAATCTTATTGAGCATTTTATCCACGCATTAATAAATTGTCCCTTATGGGCGAGAATAAAATGATTCCGAGATCCCAAAGATCAAGAAATGGTTAAGCATGCTTTGGCTTATCTTAATCATTAAATATCTTAAGGTAAGCAATCCAATTGCTAATAGCTCCAAGCTACTCTCGGTTTGATAAAATGTCGCATGTAATACATCCTTGACATTTTATCTCTTTTGCCATGACATCTAAGGACACCTTACTGATATCGTTGAGCTTAACCAAGACAACTTGTATACCTAGTATACCTTACGTTCCTAGGGAAGTAGTGATGCCTCGCTTTGGCGTAGCCCATCACATATGCGCATTAGTTCGGTAAGTGTTGTTCTTGGAACGGTAAATTTTTACCTCAATATTATTAAGGGACCTAGGGTTTCTATGTTGGTTTGATTTAAGTGAACTTAGCTAATCGTCGCAACATGTAGAAATCCTAGACATGCATCTAATATTCACATATATAATAATATATAAAGCATAAACTGATGCATTTGGCAACTAGCATGACCCCTTGAAATCTTCAATTTCCATGGGTCTTCATCTTGGCTCGTCTTCATCGAAACGCCGTCTTGAGACATCTTGGCCAAAATAAAATAACTAGCTAGTACGACTAAGATTAATCTAAAGTACAAAAATACTTAACGGTTCGCAGACCGTTTTTAGATTTACAAAAATACATAACGGAACGCAGTTCGTATTTTCTATCCTAGTCGGGCCCCACTAGTTGCCATTTTCAATAACCTGTTTTGAAAACAATCTTTCATTCACCCATTCACTATTTGTGAATGGCCCATGCATTTTACGAAATACACAATTAAACACGCAAAACTAGTAACTAACTTAGGTGGTTAATCCGATTAACGCGCCTAATTAAAACTAGTCAAAGTTGTTTAATTCATTATTTCTAAAAGCAAAATGCTCACATAATCAAATAAGCTCCCACTAAATTCCGCATCCGTACTTAATTAATCCGGTTAATTAAGTCGGCATAACCCATAATTTGTCAAAATTTTGCAAAAGCCGGAAAATTGAGGTCTAACCTAGTTAAAATAATTACATAAATAATTTTAAACGGCAAAATTTTCGCAAAGTACATAGCCTATGCATCGAAAAACAGCCACCACAAAACCAAATGCCTAGCATCATGGCTGCGGCTGTGCTGTGCTTGGGCGCAGACAGCCTGCCTAGCAAGGCATTGCTGCACCTGCTAGCACCAGCACGCATCATGCTTGCATGCTAGCATGCGCGCATGTGTGCTGGCAAGTGTGGCTGGCCTGCTGTGGCTTGCTGCCTTGCAGCACTTGCGTGCAGCGCCCAGCAGCCATACACCACACACAGCAGCACGCTTGGTGCACTATGCTTGCTCCCCACACATCAGCAACACAACAAGGTGGGAGCACCACCATGCGCACCAAGGAAGCCACATGTGGGCTGCAAGAGCAGCCCGCCTAGCCTTGGTGGTGCTTGGGTGTCTTTTGCCTCGATTTGTGCGCTTTTGACTCGGGATTTAAATCTCAATATTCGTGTGAGATAAAATTAATTCTAAATTTATTTTAGAATCAATTTACAGCAAAGATAATATAACAAGTCTAACTTAAATAAATTCAATTTTAATAGTGCACAAGCCTAAATTATTCAAGAACCATTCTTTGAATCAATCTTAGGTCTAACTTGATGCAACAAAATTGAAGGGCTACATCCATAATTGATTTAACTAAAATGCAAATTAATAATAGATTTGACAAATAGGAGTTGGAAAAATAAATTAACCATCTAATGATAAAAAATTTTCCAACTTTCATACTTGTGTAAAATACCAAGATTACATCTTTCAATATGAAGATTAATAAAAAACTTTACTCACAAGTATTTGAACTTCATGGATTTTAAGCAACCAAAAATGAAAAATCCAAAGTTTGTTCAATATGGAATTTAGGGTTAGAGTTCCAATCATTTAAACCTTTAAAGATTAGAACTTTAACATATTAGGAACTTAAAATTACACATTCACATCAAACATTCACACATTAATGCAATTAATTTGCAAAATTTGTGAAAAACAAGTTTATGTGAAAAGGCATATCAACTCAAGCACTAATTAAAACTCCATAATTATGCTTAAGGATATTTAAATAGCAGTAGATTAGGGATGCAATAATGCATTTAATCTAACCTTGTAATGCTTGCATTAATCAAGGCTTAAAAAGATTTAAAATTTTCGTTGAAAAACGAAAAAAACCCTAAAAACTTGGGTTTCTGGTTCGAATTTGGCTTCTGGACAGCCCTTAAACAATGTTGAATCTGTTTCAGAATGTCGATTCCACCCAAAAATCACTATTTTTGAGCCAAAATCTGGGTTCGACAACCAAATCGATAAAAAAATACGAGTTTTAAAATTAATTAAAATGAGCTTCTAATCTAATTAGAAAAGCAAAATCAGAAATTAAATCTTACTTTAAAACACCATAATTAATTAATAATTGCAAAAATTAAAAGGAGCGTGGCTCTGATACCACTGTTGAGTTTCGTAGTGACCTACACTACGCGGAAAGAAACCCGCCAAGACCCGCCCCCATAATAAATACAATTAACAAGCAAAACATAATTAAACATAAGAAAGGATAAAAGATTATACCTTTGACGCGTGCTTCGCTCAACAATGAGCTCTTACTTGAACCCCGAAAATACGAGGTCTCCAACGACATCGTACCCTCGAACCCCACCAGAGCGTCCTAAGTCTCGAAGGTTAGTCGAGACCCGGACAAATAAAACTATGAGTTTTACGAATCAAGGTTTACTCAAATCAAGAGTTGCCTTTTAATTCCACTCAAGGTTGTTCTTTCCCAAATACCCAAACTTTGGTATTTATAGGGAAATGAACCTTTGATCTTCATTTCCCAACCAATGTGGGAGAATGAATAATTTTGATAATTAATTTAATTCCAAAATAAATTAATAATCAAATCAATCACAATGCAACAAGTTTCAAGGGGAGAGAGAGAGTTAGGTGAGGACCATGAACCTTGGGGGGGACCATTGCCTTGCTCCCCAAGGCATGCTCCAAGCCTTTGGTCCCCACTCACCTAAAACCGCCTCAAGCAATGGGGTGAGCTGGCTGCTTGCTTTGCTGGCCAGCTAACCTAGCTAGCCCAGCAAGCATAGCTAGCACTGTCAGCTAGCCCAGCCAGCCAGCATCCCCGCATCACCCCATCCAGCATGTGCGTGCTGTGCTGGGCGATGCTCGTGCTGCTGTTTCGTGCTATCGCTGGGCGCTGCTGCCCAGCCCCTCTACGCACACACTCGCATAGCAATCGCACTCATAGCCCCTTTCAATCCCAATTGCACGCACATGCACAGGCCCTCTCGCATAGCCAGCACAGCCAGGCCAGCATACGCATAGCCTAGCTAGCGCACTCACGCACGCAAGGCCTAGCATGCGTGCTGCTAGCGAGCCACGCATGCGGGCTTGGTGCTGAGCGATGGTGCACATGCACACGCACTGAGCGAGGCTAGTGCTGCTTGCTAGCTTGCTATGCTTGGTGCTGCCATGCGAAGGCACGCACGCAAGCACACAGCTATGCGAATGCTCGGTGCTGCATTGCGTGGCTGCTGGGCGATGGTGCACACGCACACACGCATGCGTCTAGCACTACGATGGTGTTGTGCGTGGTGCAAGGGCTGCGATGGCGCCTATGCATCATGCTAGGGCTGCGATGGCGCCTAGGCATGATGCTACGCCTAGCACACCATGGTGCGCCTGGGGTTGGGATGTGCTAGCCTAGCCTAGCTACGGCTATGCTCGTACTTGTCGCTTGTGTTTTTGCGACGCTCGGTCTCGACGCCCTAGGCTCGATATCTGACGTCTGTATTCGTAAAACTCTGTCGGCTTATTAAATCCTTCGGATTAATTCGTCGTCTCGGATCGGTTGTTCGATTGGGTTCGATCCGAAGGGTTCAGTTAAGATTAAGCTGTAATATTAATTGTACCTTAATATTACTGATTGGAAGCGGCCTCCACCTAGGCATTCCGATCACTTGACCTTACTGAAGAATTAGTTCTGTAATAATTCTGAACCCTCTATCAGAATAATACACTTGTTGGAAGGACACCATTCCTTTCAGACACCTTTTTAAAACTTTTTCATGTTTATAAAGACATGTGTCAAAGACGAGCCACCAACACTAAAATCATCCATGAAAACCTCAATCTCGTTTTCAAGCATTTCAGAAAAAATGGAAGTCATGCATCGTTGGAAATTTGAACGAGCATTGCATAACCCGAATGGCATTCTTCGGTATGCGAATGTTCCATATGGACACATGAAATTAGTTTTCTCTTGATCATTTGGATGGATAGGGATTTGGAAAAACCTGGAGTATCCATCCAAAAAGCAAAAGAAAGCATGATAGGAGTGTCTCTCCAACATTTGGTCCATGAAGGGGAGAGGAAAATGATCTTTCTTTGTATTTTTGTTTAACCTCTTATAATCAATGCATATCCTCCACCTGGTCACCGTCCGGGTGGAGATTTCCTCTCCTCCTCCTCCCTTAACAATGGTCATTCCACCTTTCTTTGTAACCACGTGAACCGGGCTAACCCACTTGCTATCGGAGATAGCATAGATTATGCTCGCTTCACGCAATTTCAAGATTTCTTTCTTGATAACCTCTTGGAGGTTGGGGTTCAACCTCCTTTGAGGCTCGATTGAGGTGGATTGATCATCCTTAAGGTGAATACGATGCATGCACAAAGAAGGGCTAATTCCCTTAATATCTTCAATGCTATACCCTATCACATCTCTATATTTTCTCAACACATCAAGCAATTTTTCCAAATTAAGACCATCAAGGGTAGCATTGACAATGATAGGGTATTCCCCTTCATTTCCAAGATAAGCATATTTCAAAGAAGGGGGAAGGGGTTTGAGTTTTACCTTGGGAGGAGGCTTGGAACTCTCCTCCAATTTCTCCTCCGCTAGCCTGAGCTCATCGTCCCTAAGATCATCCTCTTCCTCCTTTTTAGCTTCTTCAATGGCCATGACAAACTCTTTTGCTTCTTGAGAGTGGTACTCTTCTTTGCATGTAAGAGCTTCAACCATTGGATCTTGAGGACTCATCATAACCCTTCCCAAGCGATCTAACTCTTCATTCACAACATCAACCCTATAGCACTTCTCAACCATGGGGGTCTTGAGTAGCTTAGAGAACTCAAAAACAATTTTTTCATCGGCTACCTCACATGTAATGGTGTTGTTCTTGCAATTGATCATCGCCCCCAAGGTCTTGAGAGCTTCACGACCCAAAATCACAAGGCACATAAATATGCCCAACTTGAATAGGAACATCTTCAAGCTCACCACAAGGCAACTTCACCGAACGGTTGACCAATTGGATATTCTTCCTTGTAGGGATCATCTCAATGTTAAGCTTTTGAGCAATGGATAGAGGGATCAAACTCACACTTGCTCCAAGATCGGCTAAGGCGCCCCTAGCTTCCATGTTCCCAATCTTTACCGGCAAAGTAAAACTTCCCGGATCCTTTTGCTTCTTGGGCATCTTATGTTGAACAAGTGCACTCACTTGATGGGGGAGAGTGATAAGCTCATCATTAAGCTTCCTCTTGTTGGTGAGAATGTCTTTCAAGAACTTGGAGTATGAAGGCATTTGTGTGACAACTTCAATGATAGGGAGGTTTATGTGCAAGTTCTTCATCACACTAAGGAACTTTGCAAAATTTTCGTTCAACTTCCTCTCCGTAAGTCAACCCGGAAAGGGAACCAGTCCATCAAGATTTCTAGTCTCACTAGGAGTTGAAGATGTCACCACATCCTTAGAATTTTTTTTCTCCATACTTCTCTCTTTCTCAATAACTTTCTCTTCTTCAACTTCCTTGTCTTCACTCACGCTCTCTTCTCCTTCCTTCTTTTCCTCACTATCCCCCTCCTTGGGACCCTCATAGGACGTACCCGATCTCAATGTGATTGCCTTGCAATATTTGGGTTTCACAATGTTGGAAGGGTTAGTTTGTGATTGTCCGGGTAGAGTAGAAGGTGAGTTGAAAGGAACTCTTTTGGCCAATTGTGCTAGTTGTGAATCAACCATCTTGTTATGAGCTTTGACCTCTTGCATTTGTTGATTCGTGGCTTGAAGTTGTTGAAGAATTTAGGTTTGAGTAGAATCGGGTTGAGATGCTTGCTCTTAACTCCTTTGAGTTGCTTGATTTTGATTGTGGTATTGGTTTTGATTATTGTGTTGGTTGTTTCTTGGGTAGTTTCCTCTTGGGTTTTGGGTTTAGAATGGAGGTGGGTTTTGGTATTGGGGGTTGGAGTTGTATGGTTGTTGAGCTTGTTGATTCCATTGTTGGGGTTGGTGAGAAAATCCGGGTGGTGGTTGCCTCTAAGCTACTCCACTGCCACTTCCCCTATATTCATCTTGCCTTGTGTTGTATGCCACTACAAGCTCCGGGCTCAAACTTCCACAATAGGATGTATCATGGTTCGTTCCACCACAATTTCGACAAAAGAAGGAATTGACTTGAGAGGAGCTTGCCCCACTATTGACACTAGTATTTAACTTTGCAAGCCCTTTTGTCAAAAGCTCAAGTTGATGTTGCAATTGATCAACCTTCTCCAATTCATACCTTCCACCCTTCTTTGGTGCATTCCTCCTTCTACCACCCCAAGAGTAGTTCTTCACTACCTCTTCAATTGTTGCTTCAACTTGATTTTGAGGGACTTTAATCAATTGGCCACCCGCCCCCGCATCCAAGTTAGCTCTAGACATAGGTTCCAACCCATCGTAGAAGAATCTCATGAGCAAGCTTTGATTATATTCGTGATGAGGACATGCTTGTACCAACTCTTTGAATCTTTCCCAAGCTTCACTAAGACTCTCATCCGCTTCTTGTTCAAATGATGCAATCTTCCTTCTCATCTTGGTGGTCTTTTCTTTGGAAATGAACCTCTTTAAGAATTCCTTGACTACCTCCCTCCATGTCGTGAGAGAGTTTGGCTTGACTTGTTTGAGCCACTTCTTTGCTCTACCCGAAAGAGATTGTCAGAATAAGTGCATACGAATGTATTCTTGAGAAACTTGGTTGGTTTGAATCATGGCATAAAGCTCAATAAATCTATCAAGATGCTCGATAGGATCTTCACTTGGAGAACCCGAAAATTGCTCTGCTTGAACCATTCTAGTGTATTGAGGATGGATGGTAAAGTTTGTTTCCGTGACGAGTAGCAAAATCCCTCCCGTGAGCTCATAATCCTCGAGATTTCCAAACTCGCGAAGCAAAACATCATTCTCTTACCTCGCCATTTCCTCGCTTTGAGAACTTGATGACCAAGAATCACTCTCACTATCAAAAATAGCACCAAGACCTCGCCCCTCTTCTTGATAAAGTCTTTGAACTTGTCTCAAAGTGCGGTCGATTTCGTGGTCAATGTAGTGTGTGGGAGGTCCTTGAGATCTCCTTTGCATCCACCAAAGCTAAGTAAACAATTAGCAATGACTAGCAAGAGAGTAAAGGAACAAAATAAATAGGCAACAAATCCAATAATAACGCAATAAAAGTGCAAAACAAGCCGTTTCCCCGGCAACGGCGTCAAAAATTTGATCGGTGGATAATAGGTTGTTACTACTACCCTAGATCAAATATACAATTTTTACTCCTAACCTAACTCTATCAAATTTAGGTGAGATAGTGGCAAGTTACGGTCGAATCCCAAAGAAACGAGGGTCATGCACGATTACTGTGAAATCTAGAATCTATTGCTAGTGACAAAGGGGATATTATAGGTTGTTTTGAGAAGTTTTATGATTAAACTATCTATCAAAAGAGACCAAATCAAGCCAAAAATAAGGATGATTAAAGTAGACACTCTAAAGTGAAAATGAAAGGCAAAACTATAGAGATAACAAGGGCAAAAAGCACTAGGGAGAGGGGGTTCCAATCATGAACAACAAGACACTAATGAAAATCAATAAGGATTTATACCAAGGAGTACAAACTCTACTCGAAGCAGTTCATTCTCATGCAACTACTCAAAACAAGTTGATGAAATTAATCAAACCTAAACTAGATCATTCTCATGCATCTAATCTATTACTAAAACATTGGGGTTAGAGGTACTCCAAGCATATTTAAGCACAAATCATCAACTCAAGGTAACATCCAATCAATAATCAATATAAACTCAAGTAAACATGATTTTCACCCCCTTACCTAGCTATAAATCTAAGCTAGAGAAAGGGAAATAACCATGGCAACTAAACTAAACATGTATTCAATCCTAACACAACTTAGCATGATTCTAAATCAAAGAGAAAGCAATGAAACAAATAAAGCAAGGAAATTATAGAAGAAAACATAAATAAGAACAATAAAACTAAAGATTGGAGAATAGGGAAAAGATATTACTATTATAAATGTTGAAGGATTAGCCAAACATGAAATAGTTGAAATAATCTTGAAGAAAGCTTGAATATCTTGATTACAAAGATTAAAACTTGAAGATTAACTATTTTCTCTCTCTAAAAGATGTTCATATTCTCTCTCTACAAAGTGTTTTTTATGTCAATGGAATATTAGTTGATTGAAGACTCAAGCTAAAGACTATTTATAGTCTCCTATTATAATGAGGAAAACGGGCAAAGGAGAGGGCTCTCCAATCAGGTGTCGCGCCCTCTCCATCCTGGGTACGAGATTTGCAAGACCCAGCTCGCCGCGCCCGCGGGCCAATGCTGTCGCGCCCGCGGCATGCCATCTCCCAACCATCTCCAGAAAGTGCTTCATAGCTCAGGATCCCCCTGTCCGCGCCCACGACTTCTTACAGCAGCGCGCCCTCTCCTTTGCAGCATCTCCTCTTCCTTTGACAAGCTACCTTAGCAACTCTAACTCCGTCTAGCAATCCAAAATTCTCCCACGAGTGCTAGGAGCTATCAAAACACACGAATAGAAGGTAAAAAGTAGAAGAAAAGATAAAAGAGAAGTAAAAAAAACGAGAAGGAGCTAAAGTAACTAAAATAGAGGTAAAAACGGTAAGAAGAGGTATAAACAAGTGACAAATCGGGGGAATTCTCTAGTGAAAGAGGTTGAAATGGTGGCATAAATGCCACTCATCACATTTCTAAGGTTGTTATAACTAATTATTCATTCATTTGGCATGACCGCAACCACATTTGAAGAAGCATATGTTGGTCTTCTAGTTGACTTGGTTATCTAGGTTGATCCAAGGTATGAATATGTCGCTTGAATTGCTTGATGCATTATATCCATATTCTTTATCTTTTTTTTTAAATGTGATTCTAATCTTATTTATATACTTTATGTTGCCTAATTTTTGTGGAAGTGTTTAATCAATTGTAGCCTTATAAGCCATGTTGTTCTTAGTGTCAATAAAAGTGCTATGTGGTATTTGCATGACATTAGATCTTTGTATTTGATGGTTCAAGGGTAAAGTACGTGATAAAACTTGTGGAATTACACTTATTACAATCCAACTTAACATTTTATAAGTTGGGTGTTTTACTGCTATTTTTATAAATTAAATTACGGTTTGATTTTCTTCAATTTTTCCTATTTTAATCAATGTTGCAGCTCAAAACGATTGGTCACATGGCGGATGATATCCCATCAACCCTAGGAAAATTCTAGCCTGAAAAATCATCGATTTACTTCAATAGAATCCGATGGTAATCTTCTGTCTCTAAACTTATCCTTTGGTCTTTCCTCTTTCTCTCTCTTCTTCTCTTCCTCTTCTTCGCTTATGAGGTTTTAAAGGTATGACAATTTAATTTTCTATTTTGATTATTGGTTGCTGGGTGTTATATATGGGGTTCATATTATGTATTTTCCAGCATAGTTGTATTGTTTATTGTATAGATGAGAGGGCTAGTGAAGGAACATTTGTGATTCTCACAAATAGATTATAGATATTGAGATTAAGAATCCTTAAATCTTTATGTAGTTCTCCCCACATGGCAGTCTTTCAAGTTGCCATGTTATATTTTTTTTTTCATAGTTTTCTCTTTGATGATGCTTTGCCAAATTTATGAACAAAAACCATAAATGTCATTTTACTTGATGATATAAGTATTCTAATGATTATTTAAACCTTGTTTTATCAAGTAACACTAATCGTTGTAATGTCCAGACACCATTTAGCACCATTTTTGCATTAGAACAAATATTGCACCATGGCTAATTAGATTAGAGTTGAGGGAAAAAGCTATTTTGTAATTAAATGATATGGAGTAAATTGCATTGTTAATTATTGAACAACGAGATGTGTTAATTCAATTATTAGGTTAGAGACGAGGGAAAATAAATTGATAATTAATTTGAAAAATGTGATCTTAGAAACAAGAACCAATTTACGAGCCTAATTAATTACACAAAAGTCATTCCGTGTTAACATAATTGAACTTCAAGCAGTTTTTCGAAGAATTTGAAGCTCCGTTGATGGAGATTGATGGTGCTGCTGAGAGTATTAGTAGCCGTTCAACTGTTACGGGCCATCCATGGCTTCTTGCCAAGAACTTGCTCCTTTTCGATTGGTGGGGCACTAGGAGTTGTTTCTGGGTTTCAATCGCAAAGGTGCTTTTGGGTGTCGTGTATTGTTGAATATAGTTCATACTGCTAAGATTCTTAGGATCATATTTGCTAGTTTAGATCAGTTTGCTATGGCTTTTTGCATTTTTGGGTTGTTAGT